TGACGTGTGTGTGTGTGCGTGCGTGTGTGTGTGTGTGTGTGCGTGTGTGTGTGTGTATGTGTGTGTTGCGGGGGTGAAATGATGGGGTCAAGGGAAAAGAGAGTCAGGGTTGGGGTAGCGCGGAGCAGGTGCGTTGTTTGATTCAGAGGGAGAGATCAGCCGCAGGGGGGCCTGGTGAAACCGTGAACCCAAATGGGAGCAGGGCGTGTTGGGGGAAGTTGGGGCGCAGGACAACACTCGGAGCGGGTGTGTGTGTATTGGGGGGTTGTGGGGTGACAGCGGCGAATGGGTGTGCACCCGCTGCACGCAGCCTCGCCGCGGCCCTGGCCGTGCAGATAGAGGGCAAGCTGCTGCCGCCCTGATCAAATAAATGATTAAATGTTCTAATGACCAAGCGGTCGTGCGCGCAAGCTGGGCCGTCCACGCGCCCGCGCGCGCTCTCACCAGCGTGTGCGTGCCGCGCTGCCCCACCATGCGCTGCGCCTTGAGGCGCCCCGTGAGCGCGCCCCACCACCGCTTGCGCCCAGTCTGCACCAGCACGCGGTCCAGGACCTGCGCGGCGGCGGCGGCGGAAGCCGGGGCAGCGGCGTCATCTATTCGGTCCAGAAAGTGAAGTCCCTTCCTCCGCCAATCCGCGTGGATGCGAAATTGAATGCACCAGCCAGCGCACCCGGCGTGCGGTAGGTTGTGTGCGACACGAGCCCAGGAGCCCAACGGCAGCGGGGGCGCAGCGGTCCTCGGTTGCTGCCCGTGCTGTGTGGGCATGCGCCCGTCTGATCGCACTGTGCAGCCACGGCCTTGGCACTTTGCTGCCGCCAACCCGCCCGCGCCCCATGCGCCTGCAGCCCGCCCGCGCACCGTCCCGCCGTGCGCCTCGCACCACCCCGGGAAGAAGGGCAGCCCCGCCGCCTGCGCCGCCACCAGCAGCTGCGTGCGCGACAGCCCCGACGGCGCGGCCAGCGGCAGCGGCGGCGGCTCGCACGGCGTGGCGGCGGTGGCGCCCACGACCGCGCGGCCGCTCTCCACGGGCTGCGCCCAGAATTGCGCCCCCAGGGCGCCCCGGACGCGCGCGTCCAGCTGGCGTTTCTCCGGTATCACAGGCATCCTTGATGAGCGGCGAGTTGCGTCGCTCAATAGGACCGCAGGCTGCGACGGGGAGGTGGCTCGCGTGCCGCTTGGCCCTGCGCCAGCGCGCCGCCCTGTGTGCGCGCCAGGTGGTGCGCTGGTACGGCACCGCAAGAGCCCAGGGATTAGTAAAGTGGAACAATATGAGCGCCCCTATAGCATACGATAGCCTTCTGGCCGAATGCTACCCCGTCTTGTTGCTGGTCGTTTCAGATCAGGACAACACCCAGCAGCTTCGTCAGAGGCTGTTGGGCGTGTGGGTGCCTGCAGAGGCTTGAAACGACCGATTGAACGCAGCGCTTACATTGTTCACGGTTCACATAACAGCGTGACATAAAAACCGGCGAAGGCGATCTAGACAAGCGCACAGCACGAGACAGCACGGCAGCCAGCGCTGGTGGACGCCGAAAGCTTCTAACGATGTTGTCGGCATCCGGGGCCCTCGTAGCAGGGCGCCTGCTGGCCCAGCAGTCGTCGCAGGTGTGTGACTGCGAGTGTGTGTGGGCCGGCGTGCTGCTAGAAGCTCTCGTCGGGGAGGCGCGGCGCCCCCGGCCTGGCCCGATCTCATGCATGTAACGCGCTCTTTCCCATCTTTCTGCAGTTGCTCACTGCGGGGGCGGTGGCGCTGCTGTCGAAGCGATCGATCAGGCAAGCACGCAGGTCTAGAAGCTTGGAAAGCAGCCACTTACCGGCGCGAACTGATTGCTAGCTTGTATAAGCCTTGTTTTCACCGCCATCTGTGCGGTCTGGCCGGCCCGCCAGTCGCTGGCCATGCTCGTGCGCGCGCTGCAGTGCTGCTCCGCTCGGCCGGCGCCACCCCGATCCGCCCCAGCGCGCATGCACCGCCTCGCGCGCCTGAACGGTCCCCCAACCCTTCCCCCCTGCGCGCCGCGCCGCAGCGTGTCCTCTGCGCTGCGCGCGGATGAGGTCATCGGCATCGACCTGGGCACGACCAACTCGTGCGTGGCCGTGATGGAGGGCAAGACGCCGCGCGTCATCGAGAACGCTGAGGGCCAGCGCACGACGCCGTCCATCGTGGCGTTCACGGACAAGGGGGAGCGCCTCGTGGGCGTGCCCGCCAAACGGCAGGTGCGCCGCGCGGCAGCGCCACGGCTGCAGTGTGCGGTGTGCAGTGTCGAAAATCCAGGGGGGGAGTCAGTTGTGGCCGCACCACCTGCTGATGCCACATCATCGCTCGCATGCGACATGAGCCGAGCAGGGGCGGCTGCCCGCAGGTGCACTGCTGCTGCATATCGTGGCGCTGCGTAGGCCCTCTTCAGCTGTGACGCCCCAACCCTGGCTTCTGTGCTGTGCGCCCCCAGTCGCAAGGCACCGATTTGCATGCGCCACCGCGTCATGCATGCCCATGCCAGAGCTTTTGACTCCTCCCGCTCCCCCTACCTCCCCCCCCAAACAC